TTTTCTTACATCTATTATAAGATGGGACTAAAAATTGATGTGATTATATTTATATATATTATGTGATTATAAAAGGGTATTTTCTTATTTAAAAAATCAGAACTGAACTATAATGTGACTAAAGAAGAGGAGTGATTATATAGGAGGTGACTATAGAGGGAGTCGACTGTACCTCTATATTTCGTGAAAACTAATAGCATACACAGGTATATACTAGTATTAGGGTATTCTTCTTCCAATATTTTATACAATAAATACGGAAAAGAATATCCTAGATTATACCTATCAAGAATGCATTTATTCTTAGTCCTTTGCTAACTATGCTATACGTTTCTTTTTTGTGAGCCATTTTCCTGTCCATAGTGAAATTTTTTAGAGGGGACTTCAAGGAGGATGGGTTTGTTATCTTTCTTGAGATTATTAGGCTATTTTATTTCTTTCTTGATTAGTGTCCCTACTGTTCATAGTAATAAGTAGTAATTTCTAGAAAAAAAAAATTGTAATTTTCCTATGGTATATATATGATATATGTGTATACCTATAAGTAAAAAAATCGTAATTTTCCTATGGTATATATATGACATATGTGTAAACCTATAGGTAAAAAAAATAAAAAAAAAGATAAGAGTTTCGATTTTTACTAGGGTGAGTAAAGTCAGAGAGAACACATATTCTAGAAGGCTTTCCAAAAATCTAAAAGTGCTAAAACTGATAACATAGTTGTCCTTTCTGCTTGTCCTCAAAAAATTTCACTATGGATAATAGGGCAACTTTCTAAGGCCAACACTCTATTGCATCAGGTATTTTTATCCTATCAAGAGCCTATCTCATTACCTTCAGGGTCTGACAGTTCTGAATAAAGATGGTACAGCAATTGATTTCAAATTTACAAAATGTTGCAACATAAACTAAAATTAGTTGCAACATATGTTGCAACATTATAAGTTGCAACATATATAGGTTAAAACTAATTGCAACGTAAGTTGCAACATTAAAAGTTGCAACATATTAATTACAGTTCCCATCTTTAGTTCTGAAACATCTTATCCAACTTTTTCTGATGATAATATGCATTTGTGTGGTATTTTTTACATGTAAATCACAAAATCTATATTCAGAAGCCGTTGGTCTTTCACATCCATCTTATTTACATAGAGGTTGCTGGTGTCTTTTCTAGTGAATACAACACCCTTCTAGTTTCCTACTTTCCCGCTCATAAACCTTTTCTTCATTAGAACGATACTGGCAAATATATTTACTGCCTATTGATATTATTCTTAGATAAATAACACTTTGATATCTATAATTATTTATTTTTATTTTAAATTTTTTTACTAGGGTATTATACTGAAACAGTATACTAGATATCATAAATAAAAATTTTTACTATGACACAATCTGAGCTTTCAGAGTTCCTCTTTGACATCACTGCCCTTTTTCATCCAGAGGCTGAAAAAAATAAAATAGAAGACCAACTGATTTGCTATTCCGGTGAAAAAAACTTGTCGGATATCCAAACACTGGATGATATAGTTGCAATAAATGATGAGGGATTATCTTCAATCCTTAAAGATACTTTATCTAAATGACTAGAAATTCCATCCATGGCTATTGAGAATGAAGGGTCAACAGAAAGGATAAATAAAACGTATCGCTATATATTGCGTCTTTATAGTTGCCTTATTAATGGCCAAAAGGCACTGGTAATTCTTAAAGAAATTCGGGTATTCTTTGACATTCTTGTGCTAGATGGAGAGACTCCAGATGAATGTGAAGAAAAGGTGAAGAAAATTCTCTCTAACATTGTGAAATTATTTAAAATAGAGCACATTAAAGCTTTTCCTTTTCGGGGTTATCATACTGAAAAAAAGTCATATTTACGAATTTATACAAATAGTACTAGAGAGAGAAAGAAAGCTATCCAAGCTATCTAAGAAAATAATTTCAAAACTGCTTCAGACGATTTATACTCATTCTACTGAAAAGTAGCTTGAGAAAATAGAATCCAACTTTTTAATAAACAAATATATTTACAAGCAAGGCAAAGGGACTAGATCACTTTGTCTACACAAATTCTACGTATCTATAAAAGATTTCTGTCCATTGAAAGATCTTACGACAATAAGTGACCAATTCCCATTTTAGCTCTCTTACGGGATTGTACAATTGTTCTCACTTGGGATATAGAGATCTAATAGCAAGAGTTAGGCAAATTTTCCAAAGTTCTTGATCTAAATTATAATGTTATTTTGATTGGTATAATATTACATTAGAAAGATGATCCAAAACTACTAAAACAAATATGTCTTGTTGATGTTAAAACAGAACGAGACCCACACTGGATTACAATCATTTGTGGAAATCAAATAAATCTGCTAAAAGCATTCGCTTTCTGTTGGAGAGCATTTGCCTCTGACATCCAAGTTGGGTTTAACAATTCAGACTATAATTGGCATTTCATTATGGAAAGAGCCTATCATCTTGACATACTCGAATGGATGTGAAAGCGAATAACAGGTTAGTTTGAAACAAAGGAAGAAATTATAAAATGGAAATATTGTGAAAAGATAGGAGCGAAATCTGAAAACGCTTTTAAGGGAAAGAATATTGTTAAGTATTTTGAGAAAGATGAGAAGGATTTGAAAGAAAAAGAATATATAGGCAGTCTAATTAAGATTAAAATCAGTGTGAAAGAGAATTTTACTTTTAGTTTCCTTAAACTAGTATTCTGCAAAAAATCTGATTCAATCTGAATCTAATCTGAATCCGACGGATCAGATTGAATCAGATTTACTGGATTTGAATCAGATTCAGATCTGGATTTTGATTTGATTTGATTCATCAGATCCAGATCAGATTCGGATTTGGATTTGATTCAATCTGATAGATTCAGATTTGGATTCAGATCTGATTTGTTAGTTTTGAAATAAAAAAATACTGCCCTGAAGTCAGACGCAGCATTTATTATTAAAAAATTTAATTTTAATAATAAAATGCTGACCGAAAGTCAGACGCGGTATTTATTATTAAAAAAATTTAATTTTTAATAATAAAATGCCACCCGAAAGTCAGACGCAGCATTTATTATTAAAAAAATTTAATTTTTAATAATAAAATGCTGCCCAAAAGTCAGAGGCGGCATTTATTATTAAAAAATTAATTTTTATTAATTTTTAATAACAAAATGCCATCCTGAAAGTTGGAGGCGCTATTTATTATTAAAAAAATTAATGTTTAATAATAAAATGCCACCCCAAAAGTTGGATGTGACATTTATTAATAAAAAAATTAATTTTGATTAATTTTTTATATAAAAATGCCACCCTGAAAGTCAGACGTGACATTAATTAAAAAAATTAAATTTTAATAATAAAATGCCACCCTGAAAGTTGGATGCGGCATTTATTAATAAAAAAATTAATTTTTATTAATTATTTATATAAAAATGCTGCCCGAAAGACGGATGCAGCATTTATTAATAAAAAATTTAATTTTTATTAATTTTTTATATTAAAATGCCGCCCTGAAAGTCAGATGTGGCATTTATTAATAAAAAAATTAATTTTTATTAATTTTTTATATTAACATGCCGCCCCAAAAGTCAGACGTGGGATTTATTATTAAAAAATTAAATTTTAATAATAAAATGCCACCCCAAAAGTTAGACGCAGCATTTATTAATAAAAAAATTAATTTTTATTAATTTTTTATATAAAAATGCCACCCCAAAAGTCGGACGCAGCATTTATTAATAAAAAAATTAATTTTATTAATTATTTATATAAAAATGCTACGTCTGACTTTCAGGACGGCATTTATTATTAAATAAATTAATATTTAATAAAAAAAATTCTGCTCCAAAAGTCGGATGCGGCATTTATTAATAAAACAATTAATTTTTATTAATGTTTTATATTAAAATACCACCTCGAAATTCAGACGCGGCATTTATTAATAAAAAAATTAATTTTTAATAATAAAATGCTGATCCGAACGTCAGAGGCAGATTTTTGTTAAAAAAATAACAAAATTGTTGTTTTTTAACGTTAAAACGCCGTTCTGAATGTCAGATGCAGATTTTTGTTAAAATGCCGTTCTGAACGTCAGAGGCAGATTTTTGTTAAAAAAATTTTTTGATCTGTCGAATATGAATATGTATTCAGATTTGTCAGATTCGGATACAGATTCAGATTCGGATTTGTCAGATTCAGATTTATCAAATTCAGATCGAATCGGATTCAGATTTTTCGGATTCAGATCGAATTGGATTTTGCCCAAATTTGATCCAATCTGATCTATGTGGAACACTACCTTAAACTGCCAGGGTATGTAGCAATTGATGTATGAGTGTATCTCAAAAAACATTTTTCTCATTATGAAGTTAAAAAGGAAGACTCACTTAATTCTTCTTACAAAAATTCAGTCTTAATAGTAAGGCTGATATGTCATATGATAAAATGTGAAAAATCTACACTACCCTCGGAAAAGTATCTGGCCAAGCTCTTTTAAATTTTTTTAAGATCAGGTATATTAATCTATAAAAAATTTTTTTTTAAATAAACCCCCTAATTTTGACGAATATGGTTATATGTTTATAATTG